ACAACATATCATAAATAGCGGAAAACATAAACAGCATCCAAATCCAGTCATGCTAACATAAAGCAGTAAAACATAATCAGCTAAGCTCCGGCCTCCTGCCGCCTGAGGCATCAGTACCCATACTACCTGATCCTGAAATAAGCATTCCCCAAACGTGGGGTAAGATCTCTAATCTAGAAATCTCAGTAAGTCAGTGAGTCCTCAAGGATCTTCCACCCCAAGCTCACTTACATGTGCAATATAAGTTCAAAAGCAGTTTATCGTTTATCATTTCTAAAACAATGCAATGCAGCAGATAATCATGCCATCTGTGTCAATACTAATCTACTGGCCAGAGACAGTGCAGGTATACGTCTATCACCTACACACCGTGCAAGTACCACTTGCATTCACCCCGGTACACCATCTTGTATGACGCTACATACTCAGGCTTCCCGTCAAGATGAAACAACACATGCATATTAAAAGCCATTACATGTAAAGTTCAATCAACATATCAAATATCCAAAAGCATGTACACAACATGCATAAACCATACCCTCATGGGACATGGTGGAACCACAACATAGCTAAACCGAGGACACGAAAGCTTACCTTGCAAGCTAGCTCCAAAAGCCAAGAGTCCACAGCTCAAAGTCCAAACACAGCAGATTCACAATCTGTTATGACCAACAATACATCAACAACATGCACCACAAGCATACAATATTAAGACAACGCCTTTCCTTACGTTTTCAAGTCTTAAAGCTTCTAACAAAGCCACAAGCCCTTAATCCCATGATTCTGGCTTAGTCCATTAAATACAGAAGTTCAACTTCATCAATCTAGGGTCCACAAACCCCCAATAGCCTACTGTACACACAGCACAGCTACTGTTCTACGAAATCCCAGAATATCCGGATATTCCTCGGGACCATATCCGGATATGCAATATCCGGATATCTCACTGGACGTATCCGGATATGTAATATGCGGATATCCAGAATCCCATATCCGGATACCTAGTATCCGGATACTCAAAACCCATATCCGGATATCACATATCCGGATATTCATCGGGCACATATCCGGATATTTCACGACAGAATGCAGAAAATGCATTTCGTGAAGATATCCTTCCAAGGTTGGGTTTTTACCGATTTTAAACACCTAAACATGCATTTCTAGGTGTGTTCAACATTACCCCACAACAAGTTATCATCTTTTGACCTTAACATGCATCAAGCTTTCATTTTTAAGCATTAAACTCAAGATCAAAGGTTGGTATACATACCAAAGGCTTAAAACAGAGAAGGAGATGCTCTTGGAGCTCAACACAGCCCCTCAAGTCTGACTCAAGAAAGATGCACGAAAATGGCTTCACAAGGGTTGGTTCTTCTCACCAAAGGTCACCACTTGGACCTCCAAAATGCCATAACTATGGCTTTCAGCAACCACACCACCCAAAACCAGCACTCTCACCCACACACAGAGGATGGAAACTCAGAATACACCCTCACACTTCCTCACCATACATGTTCTTAAGTGTAAACGAGCTCAAAGAGGGAAGAAATCAAGTAAAGGTGACAACTTGAGTTCAAAAATGGTGAAAGGAGGCAATGGAACAGTAAACCACCCTCAGCCCACCAAGTGCCTCACGTAGGAATTCTGGTATGCCTAGGGTTATGTGCTAAAATGCATATATATATAGCCACTTAGCCATAAAACACACAGTATTAACTTTAATTGCTACGCTTAGCATTTTAATCCCAAACTTTGGATTATGAAACTACATAATTTTCTAAGATTTATAATATTTTTCTTATAATTTTCTGAGCATTTTTCTGGTACGCGCTTTTCCAAGTCAGTACCGGTTTCCAGCACCAGTTCTCATTATCTGGACTTGAAACTCGTTTTACAAGTCCTATATATTATTCTAGTAATTATCATGCACTTACATTAATTTTATGGGATACTTTTTCGGCACGCATTTATACCGACTAGCAGAACCGGTATCTGCACTTTTCTTCCGAAAAGCGACTTTCAGCATTATTACTCACTAACTATAATTATTAAAGCCTCATAATAATTATTAGAGTCAATTATGGAATCATTTCCTATTTTCTCGTAATTTATTAATTAAATACCTTAATTAACGGTGCAGGTTCTTACAGGGTAGGTCTCAATAATACAACAGGATCCCAAGAAACACTAGAACTAAACCAACTGTTGTTCTCACATTGCACAAATTGTTGTTGTTCCAATGTCCAAAAGCCTTCAGTTTCTCCACCAACTAGAGGTAATTGCATGTTCCCCATATTCATTTGGCCATTCCTGTTGCTATTTGATGGACCCTCATCTGCATATATCATATCAGTAGACCATGTCATAGGAGGGGTTTGACAAAGTTGATTAGAGTTGACTCCAACACTGCTTGTTATTATTAAAGCACCTTCATGATCATGAATATTCGGGATAAGAACACTCTTAGCAGAAGTGTTTGATGAAGTAGTAACCATTAAACCAGGGACAATACTGTTGTTGGCAGTAACATTCATGGGAGAGAAAGCAGTGGCTGCTGATGATAACTCTTTCTTCCCAGAGCAGTTTTAAGTTGATCTAGAAAACATACCAGATTGAACCACACAATTAGAACGAGATTGAATTGGAAACCTTCCTTCCTTCAGTTTAGCCTTGAGTGCACCAAGAAGGCCATCAGGATCTGTCCCTGGCTCATTCACATCCTCAAAAGAAAAGGGTTCAATGTTATCAGGAATGAAATTGGAACCACCACCACGCTTAGTTGTAGCACCAGAGGTTGCAGACTCTGGCAATTCAAAGTTGGTCCTAGCATTAGCACCACGCAAAGCTCGAGCAGCAGTGTCATATGCACGAGCTGCATCCTCAGCAGTGTCAAATGTACTCTTATTGAGAACTACCCGGGTACACCCCTCCGTACCCGGGTAGATAATTCAAACAATTTTTAAGATCCCAAGAACTATACCCGGGTACACCCCTTCCTACCCGGGTAGGCACAAAATTTCAAAAAATACCCGGGTAGGGAGGGGTGTACCCGGGTAGGTCTGTTGGTCAACTGTCAAACAGGGACAGATTGGTATTATGTTTTTTGAGGGGGTTAAATTTTTGAAATAGTTTATAATGAAGGTTAATTTGGTAATTAATTTTTAATAAAAGGTTATAAGGGTCAAAAAACCATCCTCTTTCCCTTACGATGGAGTAGTGTCCACTTGTCTTTCACAAAAAAAGTTTGCATTACAATACAATTAATGTAAATAACTGTGTCTTTACAGTAGTATTTAAACTTTCGCATTAATGATTGAATGATAAATACAAATATAATTATTATGCATGACGTGATCATCTCAGAAATAAATAAATAGTCTTTCATTTATAAAATAAAATTGCAAGTGTCATTGATTACATGGTTTTATTCTCAAATTTAAAAATTTATGATTTATTCCATTTACAACTTTTCTTAATCTGAATCATATTGGCTGAGTACATCTGAAATTATATAGAATTTAGGTCATTCAATGTTATCAAATTGGAAAACATATTAACTTAGTCATTCATTCACGATTATCAGTCTCGTGTAATTAAGTACAAAAAACATTTTTTTTCGGAAACTTCAATTATATTTATTTATCTTTATCTTCTTTTTTTGTATAAAAAAAAGTTTAAGTGGAGTTAGACACCGGTATCCCACTAGGGTCAGGGAAGACCCCCAACCTCTTTGAAGATTTCTGAGAGAGATTACATATCATCCACTAACAAAGTTCTCACATCAGCCAGCGGGGTTTGAACCCACGCCCTTGAGGGGTATGGTCCTCACATCTTTATCTTTTTTTTTAATTCTTCCACAGAATGAATCGATTAATTGGATCAAATATTTTCATCTCTACTATGTTTGCAAACTTCAGGATTTGACATACTTTATAGATAGTGAATTCGATACTAGATAGTCGCAACTCTTGAAAAATATAGAGATGTTCAAATTCAAAATTAAATTAATCAAATCCGTTAGGACTTCAAATATTGATTGGTATAAAAAAAAAATTAATATCAGCCGATTTGCTATTTTATCTATTCCTTCGGTAAATAAATAAATAAAAATCAAACATATATAGTAAAATATATCATAATTAATTACCCAAATAAAGAGAACTTGAATGCAGGCATTCATGTCATTTTTTCTACACAACTCCTAGGCTAAGCTTTTTGGCATTTAGTGTAAAGAAGAGGAAGACAAAATGCTGAGTCATTTTCATCAATGTTGTTGTGTTATTGAAAGAAACTGAGAAAATGAGAGTTGGCTTCTTTTGCCGTCCACGCAGCGTTATACAAGCTCCTGGCAAATTTAGTCACTCCCCTTCACACGTTTTTTTTCTCTCTCTCTCTCTCTCTCTCTCTCTCTCTCTCTCTCTATAATATAATATAATATAATAATTTTCATTTTGGGTCTGGAACAAAAACCTCTTTTAAGATACATCATCTCTACTCAAAATTCAAAGCTTACTTCCAATACATAACTTGCACTCACATGATATATAGCTATAGAGAGAGTGTCAAGTGTGTATGTGTGTGTGTGTGTTTTGAAGAGAGAAATAAAGAGGAAATTAGGAACATGAGTTTTGTTGAATAAAATCACGAGAGGAAGGAGGACAAAAGTGGAAAAAAGTTTAAAGAGAGAAGCAGTTAAAGGTTATATAATAGCAAACTAGCTTATGTCTCATGTTTTTTTCTTCACGCAAGCAAGCAAAGCAAGCATAGCTAAAATGTGGAGGTTAAGCCTTTGCTCCCTCGCGTGGCTTTTAAGGTTTCTTCTTTCCTATTAAATCCTTATTCAATTCTACAATCATATATCACCATTCCCTTTTCTCCTTCTTCTTCTTCTTCATCCTTCCTTCTCATAAAACCCTAGTTTTTAACCTAATTATTACATGCCCTTCACCAAAAAGGTATAATCATTGAAAAAAAAAAAAAAAAATTGTTGATTAAAGATGAGTCTAAACTCTTCTAGTAGCGGAAGTGGAAGCGGTGGTGGAAGCAGTGGTAGTAGCAGCCCTTGTGGTGCTTGCAAGTTCTTGAGAAGGAAGTGTGTGCAAGGGTGCATCTTTGCTCCATACTTCGATTCTGAACAAGGTACAACCCATTTTGCGGCGGTGCACAAGGTGTTCGGAGCAAGCAACGTGTCCAAGCTCCTCCTTAATGTTCCGGTGCACCGGAGGCCCGATGCGGTGGTCACCATTTGTTATGAAGCACAGTCACGGCTGAGAGATCCTGTGTATGGTTGTGTTGCTCATATCTTTGCCCTTCAGCAACAGGTAATAGATTCATTCTTGATTTTTATTAGAGCTAGCTTTTGATAGAGTTATGATTAAACATGTTGTCATTATTATTATTAATGTTTTTTTTTTATATAAGATTAAAAGATGAAGATGTTCTTGGCTCTTATCCATCATATTCATTGTTTGTTTGTTTGCTTCTTGGGTTGTCTTAATTATCAGTTTCTTTTTCTATCCTAAGCTTCTTTTGCCAGCTATGGTAATTTATCATAGAAAGTTGCCAGCTTTTAAGACTCTTTTTTTTTTTTTCTTGATTCTAGAATTAGCACCTTAATAAGTAATTTTAGATTTACAAGTATAATGTGTACATTGTGAGTGTAGAAGGGATTTTTTTTAAAAAAAAAATTTAGATGGAGTAATTTCTAGAAATTGCAAAACCACATATATGACTGATGTAACTGCCCAATTTATCTTGTTTTGTTTTTTAGCCAATAAGTGAAAATGAAATTAACCCCCATTTTCTGATGTTCACATCACATTTGGATGGTTTTGAAGCTCATTTTGTAACCGCAAACAAAGGGACAAAAAGTAGCGGATTATAATAATAATTATTATTATTTTCAGGGTTGAAGTTAATTAAGGTTGGGCTTCTAAATGAAGCTATAAGATATGATATAAGTTTCATTTTGTTTCTTTTGTCTATAAGGAGATGTATAGTACCCTCCATTCCTTGAACAAAGCCTTAATTTGCATACATTGTAGTAGTAGTGCTTTGTGCCCTCCAAATTAGGAACAAAAGTAAGGTTTGGGGAAAGAGGAAAACAAAGGTAGGGCTTGCCAAGCCATGGAAGTAGAGGGGACAGTTTCTATGCATTTTAGTGAAATCCACAACTCTTTCAATTGATTAACAAATGATGCTGTCGGCTGTTATACACAAATGTGTAGTGCCATAAAGTCCTTGGTTCTTGCTGGTTTTGGGGAGATGGTCGGTTAGTTTCCAGGTTTTAATTAAACATTTTTCATAGGGAAAATAAAAATTCATGTTTATGTCCCTACCTTTTTTTTTTTTCTTTTTCAAAATGACCTTGATAAAAAAAAAAAAAAAATTACAATAACTTTCACCCATTCTCTTTTGCATAAAGACATAGTTGAGAATGTGCAACTCATATCTAACTCTGTAATGTGAGATGATAAGAGAGACAAGACGTTAGGAAAAGAATGCCCGTTGATTTATTTATAGATAACTAAGATTCATATTAAATGAGATATAAGAGATCTTAATTAGTCATTAGTAGGGTAGAACTAAGCTCTACTTTTTTTTCCGCTCATTTAATTTTGAATAAAGTTATATAGCCTCGAATTTGTAGCTTGTGTTGTATTTGGAGTATAATTGTGGAGTGAATTTCATTTACGCTTCACCAGTGGGTTCAAGACAAGTTCAACCCTTTCGTCCGTTGCAAACCGAGCTACATGAGAAGTTTTTTTTTTCACCATAAATGGGGTGAGGTGTAAGAAAGAGAATTAAAGCATCATACTCTAGCACATAGTTTAAAAGAAAAGAAAAACTCAAAACCAGCATTTTCCATTAAATTGTGGACTTTTTTCTATTTTGTTAGGGTATGTTTCCGAATTTATTACTTAAGAAAATTATCTTGTCTCGGATATATTGCTTTTTTGTAGAGACAATGTACAACTTGAAAGTAAGAACCAAAACATTGATTATTTGCAATGTTACTTAATTAGTTTTTCCTTCCCATGAGAAAAAAATAGTTTAAATGGTTAAAGAAAAGAAAAAACTACTTACACATATTACATTGTCATTCTTGCATTATAGGTTCCTTGGTCTCAGGGCAGCTCGGGGTTCTCACCTTTTTTAATTGTTACAAGATTGCCACATTATTAATATTTCTTTAACTGTAATTAATAATTTTATCTGCTTCTTTTTTTATACATAATTTTATCTTTCTTTTATTTGAACAAAAAGTTGTATGAAAAGGGAAAATTCTAGTACAATATTAAGAGAGAACGTTTTTAAAACAATAAAAAAAATACAATAATAGTTATTTGGCCGATGAAAAGTTAAGGTCAAAGAAGTTATTGTAATTTTTAAAACTAAAAAAGGTTTTTTTTTAATACCAAATATAAGATGAGACAGAAAAATAAGAAAAAAATTATTATAAAATAATTGATTTGATTTTTCAAAAATAAGAAGAAAAAAAATTAATCACCTAATGTATTTATTTTTCCTGTTCATTACATTTGCTGGCTTATTTGTTCTATAGGTGATGAGTTTACAAGCAGAACTATCCTACTTACAAGGTCACCTTACCACATTGGAGGCACCCCAACAACCACCACCTCATTCACCGCAGCTTGCGGTGGCACAACCGATTTTTTCAATTGCCGACTTACCGTCCGCCACCGCGGTGGCTATGCCGGCCACCTATGATGTAACTTCACTTTTTGATCCAATGGGCCAAACTTCATGGGCCATGCAGCAAAGGGCCATGGACCCACGTCAATATTTGGGTGCTGCACCATCAAGCACAAGTGGTGATCTTCATCTTCATGGAGTGGCACGTGAGCTTTCACATAGACATGGTTCTCCACCTCCACCTCATGCACCATCCTCCAATGCCTCTTCATCTCTGTCGCTTTCTAAATGATTGAACATATTTTGACTTTAATCAACTAATCTTTTTCCTTTGGTTGATCATGATGGAAAACTAGCAAAGCCGGATCTTATATATATATATATCTTCAAATATGTTTTGATATATGAGTTATATATAGTAATTATTATAATAATCGTTATTATTATATCATTATTCTCCCCTTCCTTTATTTATTTATTTTTATAGAAAAAGTGCATTGAACAATCTTAAATTTTATGTTTGTGTGAATTATGATATACTACAACCTTATTTTGTATTAATAAGAAGCTATTACATAAGTTCAACCTCACATTTCGAACCACATCAACCGTCCGTCGTAGTAAGATTATGGACGTATATTAGAATACAATATTTGAAAATGTTTCATTTATGAGCCGGGATTTGTTCACGTACTCCGACTTGTATTAGGTGTGTGTTTGAGAGCAAATTAATTTTATGAATGAAATTCATTCCCTTTTAGTGTAAAAGGTTAGTAAGAGCATGCATCAAGTAATGAGTGAGATTATTAGTGCAGTTATCGGTCCCACAAGGATAGTAACTCTAAATAATACTTTGAACTATTCTGAAAAGGATTTGAGATAAAATAAAGTACAATATTGAACTGTTTAGTCTTTTGTTTCCTAATACCGTAAGGACGTTCCCTTAAGGTGGTAGGTTCAGATTGACTAAGAACGTATTTTTAACTCAAGGAAAATGTTCTAAGATATTAAAATCCGTTGAAGAGATTTTCCAATTATTTTTAGACCATTTTCTGAAACTTCATGCAACTTGAAAATTGATCACCAAATGATGATAGCTCAGTTGGTGTTAGGAAACTGAGCAGTTGAGGATGATAGCATGTGTTCGATCGTCCCTAGTACCGTCTTTGGGGGGTTTAAAGCGTTAATCCCTGGATCCGTCCCAAATCGAACTAATCACGAAGCGATGAACCGTTTGGAATATCTCCGAAAAAAAAAATGATCAAAACTCAATAGCACTTTGATCTTAATCATGGAATTGATCAAATATTCTTGCAATTTGATGGATTGTTTCTTGATTTCTCCTTTTAATTGTTGCTCATTGATATTGTTTTGGCCGGCCCACACAGACCCAATAGATTAGGTCGGTCATTCAAAGGCCCAATAGAAGCCTGATTAAGTAGTATTCCACAGGTAAGTATATGATCCTTACTACAGGGGATCCTCGTCTTCTATGCATAGCTCACCATCGTACATCTATGATGGTGAGGCAATGTCTTATTGCAAAGTTGAGGTATTGACTCACAGTTTTTAGCTCATCACTTCTTTCTCATTATTAAAGAATATTCTTCCATCTATATAAACATCACATCTCCAACAAAGAATGCACTCGTTATCTTGCAGTTTCACGAGCTATTACTTTGCTAGATTCTAGAGCCAATATTGCCTTACACACATTCTCCTTCTTTGTAACTCTTTTCGCGCACCTATGGTGACTCTTCTTGAACTTTGGTCTTTACACTGCCTTCTTAAGCACCCATACATTAAGATACTATATGCCTTGAGGGATACAGATCCGGCTTCGAATCCACTACAATTCAGATATGTACTTAAAATTCATTCTTCTTGTTTTTTTGTATCATTAAAACCGTAAGGTGGTCAAAGAAAACCAATGGGAAGGGAGAACATTAGGGGAAGCTGAGGCTAGGTAGGTAGGAGTGGTAATTTTAAATCGGCTAAGCAAAAAACTATCATAAATAAGTCGTACATCTTGTAGTAACCCCAAAATCTTAATGCAATTAATCTATAGATTTTTCTCCTTGTAGTCCTCATTTAATCTCCGACCCCAATTAATTTAGGATAAATGTGTTGTTGATGTAGTCCTCACTTAATCTATTCCCAATTAATGTGGAATTCCCTTTCTCTTAAATTCTAAATAAAACCTTATTGACGAAACACCATCAAATCACCAAACTGAATTACACATGATTCCACAACATGGCCATTCATCCAAGAAAAAAATTACATGATATCTTTGCAAGGAGAAGATCTGTTGGCTATTTTCTCTTGTTTAGTGATCCTGTGTTTTGAGCCTTGGAGGCATTATTGTTAGACTTCGATTCAATTTGTAGTCCAAAACTCAACGAAATTTTCTCTCTATCCCAGAACGATAGTCAACAAAAGCTTTAGGGATGTTAAAATTCCGTCTATCTTTTTTTATATTTACAAATTTGGACAGAGCTCCACTTATTTAATATTTATAAAATAAGAGTTAAATTCAATATTTATAAAAAAAAAAATAACTTTTTTTAGATTAATTCTTTTATACTATAATCCAAATATATCATAATTATTTTTTTTTCCATAATACTACTGAGAACAGTAGTGCTTCCTTAAGGACATTGCTCACAAAGAGCTTCAGATATATTATGATGCAGTAACCTCAATATTAGATTTTCTGGTGACTGGTGGCAAAGTCTCTTAAAGCAAGCTCCACCTCTTCCACCACCCCTAGTTTTCTGAACCACCTAGCAAGCATTCCAGAAGCTTCTTCCCCAACCATAATGCCATCTCTCTCCAAATCTATTAGACAACTTAATGCTTCATTTAGCTTGTTTTCCTTCTCATATGCAACCAGTAATGAAGCTATGCATTTATCAGTAGGTTTGATACCTGCTCTTCTCATATTTTCAAATGCAATGCGAGCCTTTTCACTTTGGCCATCCATACCATAGGCATAAACAAGAATACTACACATTTTGTCATCTGGGGTGATACCAGCCAGCTGAATTGCATCAAACACCCTTTGGGCACCTTCAGCATTACCAATCATAGAGTAGGCTCTAAGTAATGCTTTGTAAACCTCACTTCCTGCACATATTTCCTGTGCATCCATTTCTTGCAGTAGATTCTCTCCTTGTTCGGGCATTCCGGCTCTGATGTAGGCCATGATCATTGAGCCATATGATCTTTTATCCAAAGGTTCACCAAGCAATTTGATCTCTTCAAAATATTCCTTGGCCTGATCAAGATGGCCAGCCTTGCTGTATATGTGAACCATGGTAGTCAGAATTACTTGATCACAGATGAACCCCCTCTGCTTCATTGCTGCGAGAATGTTTTCAGCATCTTCAAGTTGATTGTTCTTGCCATAACAATGTATTATCTTTGTATAATCACGAACTTCGGCTTCAAAGGATTCTTCTAGAAGTGCATGTTCTGCCACCTACGAATGTGTATAAATCCACAGTTAATGTTTCATTCATATGTAACCATAATAAGATGCATAGAGAGGTAAGAAAATGACTACCTACCATGAAAAATAATTCATAAATATTGTGATGCTTAAATTTCTCTTCCCTTTCTAATAATATAGTATATTGCATCCTTGCTTCAAAAACTTACTAGGCAGATGTTTAGTTATGTTGCCAGTATGTTTAGATGGCTACAGGAATAAACTGCATTCAATTTCCAGTTACAAATCACAGAGCCATAAAATGGAAGACACAATCATTTTCATAATGCATATATAATCGTTATATTCATAGTGCAAATGGCTAAACAATAGACAGAACAAGGAATAAGGATACGTAACTAACACTTGTCTATCAGACTTGGATCACACAGATGGTACTAGAGAAGAGGGAGGGAGGGAGAGATGATTTGGGAAGCCATAAACGGCATGGGGATAGTGTGTTGTATATACAAATTCAAAGGATTTATAGAGAAATACCATAAAAACAACTAAATTACGCTTCGAAAGCAACCTTACTACTACATTGAACCAAAAAAGTATACCATGTATTATAATGGAGAAAAGTCAACCAAATACTTGGCAATTGGAAACCCTATATGAACAAAAATCTTGACAAAGTAATTAAGAAATAATAATTATAATGACCAGGAAATTTTTTTACTAAATATGCAGTTTTGCATCCCACAGCCTATATAAGATAAAACATATTGTGTAGGACCTTTACATTCAAAACTAACAAAATCTGTCGGGTAAAGTAACATATGCCATTTGAGACACAGAAATTTACATATTCCTAAAGCAATTTGATGTGGACTAGATGTCTACACCTGCTCCAGAATTTTCATAATTTATTTTATTTAGATTAAACATTCATGAGATACAAGATATTAACACTGTTGCATGTCAGATAGAAAAGTAAACGTGTCACTGTCAAATTCCAAAAAAATATTTCGTAGATAAAGCAGAAATGAAATATACTGTATAAATGAAATAAGAAAAACGTGAAATACCATCGTAATGAGGTTAGGGGCTCGTGATAAGGAGCTTGAATAGTTTGCATGAGATTATAGGTTCAAATCTCATTGCCGCCGTTATACCAAAAAAATTAAAAATTAAAAAGATGTGAAATACCTCAAGGTATAGAGGATGATCCATTGTTTGCAACTCTTTCAGAACTGAAAGCCAGTTTGCTCTGGTAGGCTTCATGATCTTCACCCAAGCCCCTAATAGATCAGATATATTACCCTTTTCTTCAGAAAAACATATAATCTGTCTCATCAGGGCTTTACATCGATTTTCCATCTTGAAAGGAAGTTTAGATATGGCCTGTCTTTGTTCTTCTGTGATATTCTCGCCTACCTCAATCCACCTAAACCTTCTGTGGTTTTCTTCTTTAACCTCTTCTTGTACAATTTCCTCCATACCAACGCCTACTAATACTGAACCAACATGGTGTTTATGGAAATCAAAATAAATCGGTTTTACGAATACTGAGTTTCCTTTGGTCTGAACACGATAAAATTTGGTAATATCATTGGTTATTGAGTAGTAGTTTGGGTGGTAAAAGTTGCATGGCAGGCTATAACAATAGGTCCCCATCATTAAAGTAAGGTAAAAAACAGAACCTGCTATCTCCTAAGATATCAATCCAAAGCTAGCAAGCAGGAGGAAGATAAGAAGTTGAAGTATCTAACCCATAAATTAGAAGAATCAGATCACAATTAGCAACCACATGCTGCCACAAAATGAGCCATAGGAGCATTATCTCCCTTCCTTCATTTCCTTATAACACAGATGATGTGCAAGACATAAAGAGACCTCAATCTTAGTATTCTAAAGCACATGCCTTATAGTGAGTGAGATCCTGAATTTGTTCCTAAAAGTCAATACAGAAGCAAATGTAACTAATTCATTTATTGTGTCATACAGAAGTAGATAAAAAAATGCTAATGCATTATAAACTCTCCTAAGATAAAAAAAAATGTCAACTTCTTATGAACAAAATTTAACAGAAAAAGAGAGTTAAGATTTTACAAATACTAAACTCTATTAAGTATTAAAAAAAATAGAGTTAGAAACAACCCACATGCTGAAACGTGTTATTTTCCCATATACAATGACCTAAAACTTGAAAGAAAATGGGATTCAATAATCAAGGCATAAAACCCAACAAAAATGATTAAAATAAAATGAATAAAAATAATAATTAAGCAATGCAACTGGAACACAATCCCCTTTTCGGTTCTGTCACAGTTAAACACAAAAATCGCAGAACTTTGAAAATCTACTACTAGAGTTAATAAGAACGAAAACCAAAAGAAATTGATTCGAAAGTTCAAACCTTTTCATTTTCTCATGTTTGAACTTGAGCAAGCTCTTCTTTTGGTCTCTTCAATTTGGAAACTTGGTGTCTTCAAAGTTGAAATCGGGTAGTGCTACCGTCTAAGCCACGCTCTTCCCTCTCGATGAAAACAGGACAGAAGATACGTTTACAGATAAGACCATAAGAAAGAACTCAAGAAGGTAGAAAAGAAAAAACTGAGTTGAAAATTTTATTTAATTATTACAGGATATTGTAATAACCAAGTTGTGTTACTATCATATTACTACCAATCAATCTCACCGTTAGATCGATTATGTTGATCCAATGATTATATTTATTTTCATCTTTGTATGGTTATGATTCTCCATATTTAAAGTGAAAACATTAAATATGGAAAATCATAAACATACAAAGGTGAAAATAATATAAAGTATTAAATTTAGAAAATCATGATCATACAAAGAAATAAATATAACCGTTGGATCAACATAATCGATCTAACGGTGAGATAGATTTGTAGTAACATGGTAGTAACATAACTTGATTGTTACAATATCCTTCCTCAATTATTATTACTTGTAAATCTTTAAATTTTATTAAGTTAAGATATTGCATTTTAAATTAAATTTAGAATAAACAAACAGGGAAGAATATTGTAAAAACCAAGTTGTGTTACTACCAATCAATCTCATCGTTAGATTGATTATGTTGATCCAACGGTTATATTTATTTTCATCTTTGTATGGTTATGTTCTCCATATTTAAAGTGAAAGCATTAAATATGGAAAATCATAACCATACAAAGGTGGAAATAAATATAAAGTATTAAATTTGGAAAATCATGACAATACAAAGATAGAAATAGTTGGATCAACATAATAGATCTAACGGTGAGATTGATTGGTAGTAACTTAATAGTAACAAAACTTGGTTGTTACAGCATCATTCCTGTAAACAAACTCTTATTTACTATTTTAATAATTAAATTAGCACCTTTGAAATCCACGAGATTATTAAAAAAAATATTTAAGATCATATCTATTATTATATATTATGATCAGAAAATGCAAGTACTATCTTTACAAGTGACATGTATAGACTATAGAGTAATATGGTTTAATACCATGCTAAAAATATTTGTATGTTTTAAAAATATTTTAATAAAAAATTTTAACATAGATATTGTATTGAGATAAGTTATTCTATCTATTTTTATTCTTCCTGTCTTTACCTACCTCTATTAATACTATTAGATTACAATCTCATCCAAAAATAAAGATTCGCAGGATAAAACAAACTTTTTTACCATTTTATTCTCTCCCATTGGCTCCCATCATTTCTCTCTCCTCCCATCCTTTTCACATAATTATCGATCGAGCTTCATGAAACATTTCAAAAGCATCTAATTGTACTTATTCCATCAGTCATTTTACAATAACCAGTGATCATTTCAGTCCAGAGAACAACATCCTTTACTGAGATGGAAAACCCGATTTTAGTTTCTTGGAACTCGATGATTCCTCGATATTCGAGGAATGATTGATTTGTACAACTAATGCCTTTGACAAAGAGGATGGTGGTCAAAGGGGTGGGAGACAGTGGGAAAGAGGAGGGGGTAAAGGGATTTGTTTTATCCCGTGAATCTATATCATTGGATGAGATTGTAATCTAACGGTGTTAAGAGAGATAGATAAAAGTAGGCAGAATAAGGATAGGTAGAATAACCTATCCCTATTGTATTATTTATGGAAAAAATTATATTTACAAACATTTTATTTACAACCTACACTATATAGTAGGGGTAGTACATTCTAGCACACAATGTACTATCCCTAGTACATAGTGTAGTTTGTAAGAGTTTGTAAATGACTTGTATTGATGGTGTCCATGGTGTTTCTAGGTGTGAGACTTGTGGACCATCATTAGTTGACCAAGCATTGGAGGAGCCAATGGATGTGGATGTTGAGACTTGATTGAAATCAAGTGTAGGTGAGTTCCTAAATCATTGTGGTTATATGATGGAATTGCCTATGTTATATGGATATAAATGTATGTTCGTATATATTGCAATTTGATTCATTGTAAACTAACCTTATAGATATGTGTTGTGGTCATCGAATTGTTTGGTTATTGCTTTGAGAGTAAAGCTTGTTTTGTGGGACATTGGTGCTTGGAGCAAGCATTGGTGGAGAGCTTTACAGGTAAACTTTCGGACCTTGAGATTTATCCATTGATTGTTCCACCAAGCCCATTTATATGGTTGTGTAATAGATTGAATATAATGTATATTGTGTGGTGTAAGAGGGATTCTTACCCGGGTATATGGCAAGACGATTTTTGTGTACGGTATATTGCACGGTTGCGTAATTCATACACTGTACCTTGGCCTTAGGATTTTGTCTTAAGCATCATGTTGAAGGTATGTTTACCACGAAAAATGACTAGGACATTGTCATTTGTATTCTGAGAACGGTGCGAGGCACTAGCAAGAATATTAGACAGTTAGTGTGCACACTTTGCATCATACATACATTCATGATTATGTTGTTTATGGCTTGTTGCATGAAGAGAACTTTGGGGTGAAAAATTCCTCCAAGGACCCCTAGTTTACTTAAATGTTTATCTCACCCTGTGTTGTGGGGACTCCCTTTTAGGTACTGACGGTGCTGGAGCATCTATTGGTAGGAGACCACAGTAGATTGCATAGTTATGGTATGCTTTAAATGTATTTTGAGATATCCTATGTATATGTTAGAGGAACATGTATATGATTTATGTAAGAACCCGCACCGTTAATTAAGGAATTTAATTAATAAATTATGAGAAAATAGGAAGTGATTCCATAATTGACCCTAATAATTATTATGAGGCTTTAATAATTATAGTAAGTGAGTAATAATGCTGAAAGTCGTTTTTCGGAAGAAAAATGCAGATACCGGTTCTGCTAGTCGGTATAAATGCGTACCGAAAAAGTATCCCGGAAAATTAATGTAAGTGCATGATAATTACTAGAATAATATGTAGGACTTGTAAAACGAGTTTCAAGTCCAAGTAATGAGAACTGGTGCTAGAAATCGGTACTGGCTTGGAAAAGCGCGTACCGGAAAGTCGCTTAGAAAATTATAAGAAAAATATGATAATTCTTAGAAAATTATGTAGTTTCAGAATCCAAAGTTTGGGATTAAAATGCTAAGCGTAGCAATTAAAGTTAATACTGTGTGTTTTATGGCTAAGTGGCTATATATATGCATTTTAGCACATAACCCTAAGCATACCAGAATTCCTACGTGAAGCACTTGGTGGGCTGAGGGTGGTTTACTATTCCATTGCCTCCTTTCACCATTTTTGAATTCAAGTTGTCACCTTTACTTGATTTCTTCCCTCTTTGAGCTTGTATACACTTAAGAACATGCATGGTGAGGAAGTGTGAGGGTGTATTCTGAGTTTCCATCCTCTGTGTGTGGGTGAGGGTGCTGGTTTTGGGTGGTTTGGGTGCTGAAAGCCATAGTCATGACATTTTGAGGTCCAAGTGGTGACCTTTGGTGAGAATAACCAACCTTTGTGAAGCCATTTTTGCGCATCTTCCTTGAGTCAGACTTGAGGGGCTGTGTTGAGCTCCAAGAGCATCTCCATTCTGAGTTTTGAGCCTTGGTATGTTGTACCAACCTTTAACTTGAGTTTTAAGGCTTAAAAATGGTACCTTGATGCATCTAATGACTAAAAGATGATAACTTGTTGTTGGGTAATGTTGAACACACCTAGAAATGCATGTTTAGATGTTTAAAATCGGTAAAAACCCAACCTTTGAAGGATATCTTCACGAAATGCAGTTTCTGCATTCTGTCGTGAAATATCCGGATATCTGCCCGTGGAATATCCGGATATTGGATATCCGGATATGGGATTTGGACATCCGGATATTAGATATCCGGATATGGGATTTGGACATCCGGATATGGGATTCTGGATATCCGGATATTGCATATCCGGATATGTCCAGTGAGATATCCGGATATGGCATATCCGGATATGGTCCCGAGGAATATCCGGATATTCTGAGATTTCGTAGAACAGTAGCTGTGTTGTGTGTACAGTAGGCTATTGGGGGTTTGTGGACCCTAGATTGATGAAGTTGAACTTCTGTAATTAATGAACTAAGTCAGAATCGTTGTGATTAAGGACTTATGGCTTGGTATGGAGCCTTAAGACGTAAAACGTAAAGAAAGGCGTTGTCTTTAATTTATATGCTTGTGTTGCATTATTATTGATATAGTATTGGTCCATAACAGATTGTGAATCTGCTGTGTTTGGACTTTGATCTGTGGACTCTTGGCTTTTGGAGTTAGCTTGCAAGGTAAGAGTTTGTGTCCTCGGTTTAGCCATATTGTGGTTCCACCATGTCCCATGGGGGTATGGTTGTATGCATGATGTGTTACATGCTTTGAATATTTGAAATGTTGTTGAGCTTTATGTGTAATGGCTTTTAATATGCATGTGTTGTTTCATCTTGACGGTAACCTGAGTATGTAGCGTCATACGAGATGGTGATCCGGGGTGAATGCAAGTAGCGTCTTGCACTAGTGTGGGTATTTAGCGTATGTAAATCCTGCATTTCTCTGGCCAGTAGAATAGAATTGACACACATGGCATGATTATCTGCTGCATTGCACTGTTTTAGAACTGATGATGATATCTGCTTTTAAACTTATATTGCACATGTAAGTGAGCTTGGGGTGGAAGATCCTTGAGGACCCCTTGTCTTACTGAGATTTCTTGTTTAGATATCTCACCCCGCGTTTGGGGAATGCTTATTTCAGGTTCTGGTAGTTTGGTGACTGATGCCTCTGGTGGCAGGAGGCCAGAGCTTAGTTGATGATAGTATGTTGTTTGCTGCCATGACTGGATATGGATGCTGTTTTTGTTGTTATTGAGACTGATGTTGGGCATGTTGCCTTATTTGAGTGAGCATGGGGATTGTCCATGACACTGTATGTTAGTGCTTTTGATTTGGAGTTGTATAAACTGTTAGATGGTCCGGTCTACGTTGTTGTAGTTCCGTGACTAGAGCCACACTTTTATTATCTATGATTATGAGGTATTTCAGTTAGCTGTTTTATTGCAATTACATACAGGCGATGTTTTATTAATTGATTAA